CTTATTGCCACTGGAAAAACAGTCGCATTATACATTGGGAAAAAAAAAAGACGATTATGCTGGAGATAGAGGAGAGAGAGAGGAGAGAGAGAGAGAAGAGAGAGAGAGAGAGAGAGAGAAGAGAGATAGAGAAGAGAGTAATAGTAGTAGAAGCACGAGTAGTACTAGTGGTAGTAGTTGTAGTCGTAGTAGTAGTAGTAGTAGTAGTAGTAGTAGTAATAGTAGTAGTAGAAGGAGTAGTAGTACTAGTGGTAGTAGTTGTAGTCGTAGTAGTAGTAGTAGTAGTAGTAGTAGTAGTAGTAGTAGTAGTAGTAGTAATAGTAGTAGTAGTAGCAGTAGTAGTAGTAGTAGTAGTAGTAGTTGCAGTCGTAGTAGTAGTAGTAGTGGTACTAATAGTAGTAGCTGTAGTCGTAGTACTATAGTAGTAGTAGTAGTAATAGTAATAATAGTAATAGTAATAGTAGTAGTAGTAGTAACAGTAGTAGTAGTAGTAATAGTAGTAGTAGTATTTATAGGCGTAGTAGTAGTAATAATAGTAGCAGCAGCAGTAGTAGTAGTATTAGTAATAGTAGTAATAGTAGTAGTAGTAGTAGTCGAAGTATTCACCCTACACGGTGAAGGAAGGTACACGGTACAAGGTCAGGGACCTTACAAGGGAGGTAGGGAGGTGCCTTGATGCTGATAAGGAGCTCTTGTTCCAAGGAAGAGGAGTTACATTCCCTTCCTCGAATAAAATCTGGCAAACTCCTATACCCTCTTGTGAGGCATATGGCTTTACCGCCACCATGTATAATAATAATAATAATAATAATAATAATAATAATAATAATAATAATAATAATAATAGTAAGAAGAAGAAGAAGAAGAAGAAGAAGAAGAAGAAGAAGAAGAAGAAGAAGAAGAAGAAGAAGAAGAAGAAGAAGAAGAAGAAGAAGAAGAAGAAGAAGAAGAAGAAGAAGAAGAATATTAAGGTTGGGGTACAGTTCCAGGGTTGAGCAGATATTTGCCCTCTGATGTCAGTGTGTAATATAAACGTAAGAAATTTAAAAAACTAAATAGAAAAAGAGAATTGTTGTGTCTGGTAGTAGCCTGAGAAGCTGCAGGGGCTACGTTAACACTGGGTGAGAGAGGTAGCAGGGACTACGTTAACACTGGGTGAGAGAGGTAGCAGGGGCTACGTTAACACTGGGTGAGGAAGGTAGCAGGGACTACGTTAAAACTGGGTGAGGGAGGTAGCAGGGGCTACGTTAACACTGGGTGAGGGAGGTAGCAGGGGCTACGTTAACACTGGGTGAGGAAAGTAGCAGGGGCTACGTTAACACTGGGTGAGGGAGGTAGCAGGGGCTACGTTAACACGGGTGAGGGAGGTAGCAGGGACTACGTTAAACTGGGTGAGGAGGTAGCAGGGGCTACGTTAACACTGGGTGAGGGAGGTTAGCAGGGCTACGTTAACACTGGGTGAGGAAGGTAGCAGGGACTACGTTAACACTGGGTGAGGAAGTAGCAGGGGCTACGTTAACACTGGGTGAGGGAGGTAGCAGGGACTACGTTAACACTGGGTGAGGAAGGTAGCAGGGGCTACGTTAACACTGGGTGAGGGAGGTAGCAGGGACTACGTTAACAATGGGTGAGGGAGGTAGCAGGGGCTACGTTAACACTGGGTGAGGGAGGTAGCAGGGGCTACGTTAACACAGGGTGAACGAGGTAGAGTGAGAAGCAGCAGGGGCTACGTTAACACAGGGTGAGGGAGGTAGCGTGAGAAGCAGTAGGGCTACGTTAACACTGGGAGAGGGAGGTAGCAGGGACTACGTTAACACTGGGAGAGGGAGGTAGCGTGAGAAGCAGTAGGGGCTACGTTAACACTGGGAGAGGGAGGTAGCGTGAGAAGCAGTAGGGCTACGTTAACACAGGGTGAGGGACGTAGCGTGAGAAGCAGCAGGGGCTACGTTAACATAGGGTGAGGGACGTAGCGTGAGAAACAGCAGGGGCTACGTTAACATAGGGTGAGGGAGGTAGCGTGAGAAGCAGCAGGGGCTACGTTAACATAGGGTGAGGGAGGTAGCGTGAGAAACAGCAGGGGCTACGTTAACATAGGGTGAGGGAGGTAGCGTGAGAAACAGCAGGGGCTACGTTAACACAGGGTGAGGGAGGTAGCTTGAGAAAAAAGCAGGGGCTACGTTAACACAGGGTGAGGGAGGTAGCTTGAGAAACAGCAGGGGCTACGTTAACACAGGGTGAGGGAGGTAGCGTGAGAAACAGCAGGGGCTACGTTAACACAGGGTGAGGGAGGTAGCGTGAGAAGCAGCAGGGGCTACGTTAACACAGGGTGAGGGAGGTAGCTTTGAGAAGCAGCAGGGGCTACGTTAACACAGGGTGAGGGAGGTAGCGTGAGAAGCAGCAGGGGCTACGTTAACACAGGGTGAGGGAGGTAGCGTGAGAAGCAGCAGGGGCTACGTTAACACAGGGTGAGGGAGGTAGCGTGAGAAACAGCAGGGGCTACGTTAACACAGGGTGAGGGAGGTAGCGTGAGAAGCAGCAGGGGCTACGTTAACACAGGGTGAGGGAGGTAGCGTGAGAAGCTGCAGGGGCTACGTTAACACAGGGTGAGGGAGGTAGCGTGAGAAGCAGCAGGGGCTACGTTAACACAGGGTGAGGGAGGTAGCTTGAGAAACAGCAGGGGCTACGTTAACACAGGGTGAGGGAGGTAGCTTGAGAAACAGCAGGGGCTACGTTAACACAGGGTGAGGGAGGTAGCTTGAGAAACAGCAGGGGCTACGTTAACACAGGGTGAGGGAGGTAGCGTGAGAAGCAGCAGGGGCTACGTTAACACAGGGTGAGGGAGGTAGCTTTGAGAAAGCTGCAGGGGCTACGTTAACACAGGGTGAGGGAGGTAGCGTTGAGAAGCAGCAGGGGCTACGTTAACACAGGGTGAGGGAGGTAGCGTGAGAAGCAGCAGGGGCTACGTTAACACAGGGTGAGGGAGGTAGCGTGAGAAGCAGCAGGGGCTACGTTAACACAGGGTGAGGGAGGTAGCGTGAGAAGCAGCAGGGGCTACGTTAACACAGGGTGAGGGAGGTAGCGTGAGAAGCAGCAGGGGCTACGTTAACACAGGGTGAGGGAGGTAGCGTGAGAAGCAGCAGGGGCTACGTTAACACAGGGTGAGGGAGGTAGCAGGGAACCAGCAACATGATGCCTGGAAAATCCACGATAACAGACGTGAGATAGACAGTATTGTAAGGTCAGGAAAGTGACACCAAGCTCACAAAAACTGCATAAGTATAGGTAAGGATCGTGATGTAGTGACAGGATAGCACTGTAATACAATAGTCGTCCCACAGAAGTAGGAATAGTATACTAATCGTAGGGAAAAAATAGATTCGGAAGGGCTACTACTACTGATACTACAGTAACGTCAGGGTAGTAATCTAGAAGATAGTGCCAGGTGTACTATTGAGTACTCCGAACACTAGAAGAAAATTACGAAAATGAAAATATTACAAGAAGGAATATTATATTACAGTTGATATTAGGGAAGGGTAAATTACAGTAAGATTGAATAAAGAAAACGAGAAGAGTCTCATGTAATATGGATTTATAAGGGACACTAATGTAAAAATTATGAGGAACATTAAATGGTATTAAAGGGACATTAAATGGTATAAAATACATTACAGTGATGTCAAGTATGTTGCAATCAACAGCAGTGTTAAGTAGGTTGTGATGTCAGGTAAGTTGTATGAAGCTTACTACCATGAAAGTTGATATAATAACATTTTTACAGATTGAGCATGGGCAGCAGCAGCAGCAGCAGCAGCACAGTACAGGAAGAAGGCCACACAGGGCCACACAGGGCCACACAAGGCCACACACATATACACGAGGCAATACCTTAGTGCCACAAACACAGTTAATAAAAGTATGTCTGGGGGGGAGCATGGTGAGCATACCAAGCATACTCTTTCTCATACGTCAAGCAGGAACGTCTTCTGCCTAGGGTGTTGCCTACACAAATGAACCTTGTATGTTTGCACAGTAACATATACGATGTACACACTGAGCACTTGGTAGCCGGTAGTGTACTTAAAACATATATTTATATAATATATATATATATATATATATATATATATATATATATATATATATATATATATATATATATGTATATATATATATATATATATATTATATATATATATATATATATATATATATATATATATATATATATAATATTGTGTGTGTGTGTGTGTGTGTGTGTGTGTGTGTGGACTGAATAAAAATAATTATGTTAAAAGGGAAATCTGGGTTAGTTGTTAGTCTTCAGACACTGATGTGTTGGTTCAGTGACAGGTCTCCAAGATCGTTCACATGACAGGAAGATGTCTAAGAGGAGGGGGGATAAAATATAAACATTCAGTATTACGAGTAAGTGGCATGATCCTCACGACCTTCTGCGTCGTTCTGGCAAATGAGGAAGCACAGACAATCAACATTCTTCCATGCAAAAAAAAAGATGTATATATATATATATATATATATATATATATATATATATATATATATATATATATATATATATATATATATATATATATATATATATATATATATATATTATATATATATATATATATATATATATATATATATATATATATATATATACAGGACAATAAATCAGTCAGTGAAATTTAAATGTACAAGACAATGTCTGACCTAAGAACTGCATTAGGCTTTCGGAAATAAAGATATGGAAGAGTAGCAAAGAGGAAGGATAGCACAAATGCGGGAGACTTAAAGGAATAGGTGAAGGAGTGCACGAGGGTAAACAATGAAAATATTAGAAGGTTGTAAACAACGAGGGAGAGAAAGAGAGATAGAGGGGAGAGGGTTAGGTGTCCATAGAGGAAAAGGTAGTGAAGGACCCATGTAAAAAGGGGTGACCACAGGCTGGAAGGGAAGGAGGGAAGGGTAATGGGGGGGAGGGGTGGACTTACCGGAGTCTGGTAGTCTGGTGATGGTGGTGGTCGGTGGTCCTCGGTGGCCGGGAGGTCGAGTATATTAGGTGCTGGGGGGTTAGTGATCACCCCCGGGTCACCGCTCTCCCCCCCCTGCTGCGCCTCCTTCTGCAGGCGACCCATGTGATGCTCGTGGTTCTTGTAGCAGCCTGTACCTGTCTGCCCGGCACGCATCGACTCCCCAGCCACCGAGTTGGCATCTGCCTGGGACATGTTGTGACCTATACCAGCGAGAAACAGAAAAATATCACCATCTCAACAATCACGGGCTGGGGATGCAACTAGAGGACTCTAGGCAGGGCTACCCTCTACTACTTCGTGAGATGAGCTTCGAGTAGACTTGTTGGTCAAGTCAGGAGTCATGCAGTGACCAGGAGTGGCAGGCCAAGCTCCCAGGCCTCAACCATCCCCGAGCATTCATGCCGCGGTAACTAACTACAAAACTAGACCAACTAAATCAAAATGAAAGGAAACCATCCACAAGTTACATAAAACTATCAAGGTCTAAAAATATTTATTTTTTAATCAAATAAAAGAAATGGTTACTCTACTTGTGAAAATAATAGCATTAAATTCAATATACAGGGTATTATACACTCGTTGCTCTGAACAGTAAATTTTTACAAAAATGTGAATCCCATTAAGGACATACGTCGAACTGAGTTTTTAATTAATAAAAATGTGCCAATATAAGTATCAATATACATTTTTTGTACTATGAAATCAATTAATAAACAAAAACAAGAGTTCGACATCTGCTTAGTTCATTTCCTTCCTTCATATATAAGATTAAACTCGGCTACATCTCCAAATCAAAAAAATCATTAATGTCTTGTCCAGACCGTCCAAAAACAATGGGGATGGGGGGGGGTGATTTTGTTCACTCTGATAACTTTAGACAATTAGAAGAACCGGGTTCAAGCCTGCAATAGAGAGAAAGGAAATGAGTAAAGAATAAATTAAGGTGAGGCCAAAAGAAAAAAATATGTATCACCTGAAACACGACACATATTAATCTACAACAGTGAGAGTCATCCTCTGAGAAGCACAGAGAGACAGCACCACTACCGTCAAAATTAAAAAACATTGCATGCTTGTTCTTTGTCGTGTCTATGCAATTTGCAAAGACACTGGCATTTATTCATGGAAAGAGAGAGAGAGACACTAACTCCTTGCTTACTGTGATAAATACATTGTTGATGCTAGTAACAATTAGTGCAGTAGACTTGCCTGGTAAATATTTCTTTCAGAATAAATGCTGAGGGAATTTGTTAACACAGGGTGACAGTGCCGTGTGCAGGACTACAGGAAAATAATAATTAAAATATGGTTTCCACAAACACAAAAGTACTCCATGGGAAATAAAATAAAAATAACAAAAACGCATCAGAACAAAAGGGATTTGATTCACAGGAGAGTCTACAAAAACGAAACACCTTCATATTAAATATTTTATTTTAGGTTCGTACGGGTAGGAAAGAGGAGTACCGGATGCAAACTATTTTGGAACATCATGAGCAACTATCCATCTATAAGAAAAAATCATTAGACCAATGTATTTAGAAATCTGCTTTCCGTCATAATTCTTTTTTTTAATATCTAGGCCAATATATATATACTGTTGCAAACACTTTTGTCTACTGGCGCTAAGGGACCACTAATTTAACCTTTTCAAATAATATTCATTATGTAATAACAATCGTAATGCTTCACTGGGCGCCAAAAAATGCGTAGAAATATTGCAACTGCATTCCCATTGATCATCAAAATTACCTTTACAGTACTTGAGCAATATGCAAAGAAATCTAAAACTAACAAGTGACCAGCCATAACTAAGCTCAGTTAAGATAAGCTTGTTTTACAGGAAATTTGGTGCACCAATCTCTAAGAGTTACAGGCAAACCGCCTTAAAAGTCCATTCAATGGAAAGTACCGTATACAACTCTAGAGGAGGTCTAGATCTAGTCGAGTGAACAAGGTGCTGGCAACTAGAAGTGACAGAATTATTCACCCATTTTGTCTGCAATACAGTCGACTCTGCAAAATCGAAATATTGTCTTTGAGATGTAAGAATCTTAGTAATTTTTTAAATGTTACTGCACAAATGTGTGGGGTGGTGAAAATTGTGTTACAGATGTCACGATATTGTCTCTTAGATGTCAGTACCTATCCCCGAGCTCCATATATGTTTGGTACGTAGCCTCGTACCTTCATATTATCATACCACGAAGATTGGGTACCTTGGTGGCTAATTAGCTCCTATGGTGGACAAATGAGAGAGAGAATTATATAAAAGTCACACTTTATTTATACCTCCATCTAGTGACCAGAAGTACACAGTGAAACAATGACAGTGGAAAAAGTCTTAGTCTAAGAGAAATATATTTATGTCATTATTTATATGAGTCTTTTAAAATTATATATGTCATCAGACTTTAGGCCAAAGGTTAAAGCATTTTTTTTTTAAAAATCTAAAAATCATATTTCTTGTGGCCAAAAAAAACATTATAATATTGATTTTATTAAAGAGAAATAACAACGAAGCTAGGAAATGACTAACTCAATGAGTTTCACCTTTTTAAAGTCCTCTAACGAAGACGCTAAACATTATAAACAGGGGCACAAAAGGCTAAATCTCTCCTACGTAAACGACATAAAAGAAATTTGAATTAGTTAGCCATTAATTAGTTCTAGTCAGCCATAATCAATACTAGACAGTCATTACATCTGTGCTAGATTTCATTAATTGACTCTAGACTTCCACCAGTTGCAACTAGAAGACTATTTTTGTATTAAACAAATAACTGGCGCTATACTGTCGTTAACTGGTACCTGGCGGCCATTAATTGGCACTAAATACCTATTAATTGGCACTAGTTAACATTAATTGGCACTAGACAACCATTAATTGGCACTAGACAACCATTAATTACCACTAGACAAGCATTAATTGGCACTAGATAAACCATTAATTGGCACTAGTCAGCCATTGCAGGGCACTAGATAACCATTAATAAACTCTAGACAAGAATTAACTTGCAGTAGACCATAACTGATTGTCACTAGACAACAACCATTTGGTACTAGACAGTCAATTATCTGTACTAGAAGCTATTAATTAGCCTAGCCAGCAATTAAATGACTAATGAGTCCTTAACTGCCAACTAGAAAATGATAAACAGGTACTAGACAGTAATTAATCCGCCCTAGAGGCTATTAATAGGCCTTTAAATAGGCTTTTAATTGCCTGGCTCCATTAAAATGAAGATTTTTTCACAATTTAATTGAGATTTCTCAGCCTGATGAATCACATGAGAGTCAACAGCATTCAGAACGAAGTATCTTTTAAATTATTTAGAAAGAAGACATGTAAAGACTTGCGAACATGCCTCCCCTTGCGACACTCTGTGCTCAGGTGGCTAAACTCACGTTCCACTGTGCTGAGGACACTGTGCTTAGACGGGGATACCCATTGACTCCAGAGGGATACTACTACTTTTAAGGAAAACCTCATTTCCTCCGTGATTTTTTTTCTATCTCTGGTTTTGTGGTGATGAGATTATATTTACAATGGTATGGGAAATAAGTTGTGTGTACACACATTACCACTTGGCAAAGAGCATCGCATGGGAAGTGTTTGTCTTATATACAATGTTAGCAATTGATCTTTAATTATCAAGACCCCCTATCCAAATAACCGACATATATATATATATATATATATATATATATTATATATATATATATATATATATATATATTATATATATATATATATAAATTAATATATTTTATATATATAATATATATATATATATATATATATATACATATATGTTATGTTAAGTTGCCTTATTCTTTTCCACTACATTCACTTGTTTCGGTCTTTTTCAAATAGTTATGTGGGAACCTGTTGGTCTAAGACCCTTAATGGTGGTTAAGGGCTCTCGATACAGGGAGGTGGAGCTTCCCTTCCTTCCCTAGGATGGAGTCTGCCACCCATTCCCCAAGTGCTGAAACAAGTGAATGTAGATTCAGGAAGCAAATGGGCTTGACCGTCTGTGTGTGTATATATATATACTGGAGCCGATATTAGTTGCATTAGTTGGAGGGAAATGTGTTCCATGAAATTAGGATTTAGGAAGAGAAAAAACTTATAAAAACCGTGTTAATATTTGTGCATTATATAGTGTATTTAAAATGATGAACAAAAAAAGTCTACATAATTAGTGAGACATGCTCTAGTGTTCCTGGAGCCAAGTTACGTCCAGTCCAGCTGGCACTGAGTTAATTCTTGGCACCAGTGGGGCATTCAATACACCTGGCACTGTTTGTGTACCTTGGCTTCAGTTGGGCGTACATTCTAACCTGTCATCTTTCGAAGCCTCCCCTTCCTACTCCCGCCTCCTCGGCCTGCTATATTTCACCAGGAATTCCCATTATTAATTACATTTGCCAGGATTTACATATGCAAGTTAGCTAATTATTTTTTTGCTGGATTATATGATTTTGGTGCGTGCGTGTGTGTGTGTGTGTGTGTGTGTGTGTGTGTGTGTGTGTGTGTGTGTGTGTGTGTGTGTGTGTGTGTTGTTATGGCGATCAGTGTGTGCATGTGTGTTGTTATGGTGATCCTTGTATGTTAACAACGGGCTTGGCAGTTATGCACCGTCTGTGTGTATTCGTCTAGGTGATGGTGGGGGAAGTGTGTGGCGAAGGGTGATAGGGTGATAGTAGTGTGTATGAGTGTTGTGGTGGAGAAGCTACTTGTTGCTGTTGTAGTAGTTGTAGTAACAGTTATGTTGATAGTATCGGCAGTAGCAACACCATCTCTAACGAACACACACATGATAACATGGCCGGTCAGCTCATAACAGTAACATTAGTCCCGTCTGATCTACCCAAAGGCTCAGGCAACCCATCACTCTGTTACAGGGAGCAGCATTATAATATGAATCAGCATATGCTGTAAGTAGGCGGGTAGTAAATCATTAGGAAAATGAGGAGAAAGCAGTTTTCCCATAATACCCAAGGTTGATGTTAATATATATATACATACATATATAGAAATATATAATTTGAAAATGCTATAAACATTATATCTACAAGGATATTGATCCTACACTGATGATGTTGACACTTGCTCCCTCACTCAAGTACTCTGTGACAAGGTACTTGAGTGCAAGTGAGTGGCAGATGAGTACCTTTCTTTGCACACCTGAGCTGAGGATGAGAGGAAGAGACATTGACCTTTTCATGGGCAAGATCTTAATTTCTGCCTTATTTTGTATTGGTATTGTTAGTGTAAATTGTGTCACTGAGTTAAAAAATAGCCGTCTTGTGAAATAAATTCTAATGCTTGATTTATTTATTTTATACATGATATGGTTTCTAATATGAAGTGCTAGTGTATAATGTATACGATATGTTAATGAGTTATGTATATACAATGTTATACACAGAGACGTGGGTATAGGGTGTGACTATCAAGACTAGTACTACTAGTACTACTAGTACTAAGAGTACTGCTGGGCAATACAAGGTATCGAAGTGTCTTGCCAGAGTACATTATGGTACCTGTTGCATGGGAGTACATTATTGTATGAGTACAATGAGGTACATGTATGAGAGGACATTGTGGTGCTAGACGAGGACCTTGTGAAGTATTTAATTATCCCCTAAAGTCCTATACTGAACGTCTCCCGGAATTTATGGTTGTGGGAGACAGTGTTGTATGGGTGTTGTATGAGAGTGTTGTATGATAGTGTTGTATGATAGTGTTGTATGATAGTGCTGTATGAAGACTGTTCTGGAGACAGTGAAATGAAAGAGGTTAGCGGGTGAAAATTTTCAGAGAAAGTGATGGAACATGAGAGAAAGTGATGGAACGTGAGAGGAAGTGATGGAACGTGAGAGACAGTGATGAAACGTGAGAGGAAGTGATGGAACGTGAGAGGAAGTGATGGAACGTGACAGAAGTTATGAAACGTGAGTGAAAGTGATGGAACGTGAGAGGAAGTGGTAGAACGCGAGAGAAAGTGATGTAACGTGAGGGGAAAGTGAAAAAATGTGAGAGCAAGTGATGAAAATGTGCAAAACATGATTGAAAGTGACATTGAAAAAGCTATGTTTACCCAGGTAAACCGCCTTATAATAAGATAAAGTAAACCAAGAAACATAAGACTATATCTAGTATTGAGGAAGACTGAGACAGGTACACTACGAGACTAAAACGTGACAACATTTCGCTCTGTATAACGTTTCGCCAAATCCTCGTCAATTTTCTCCCCCTCATTCCATTTTAAGTTGAATCTGTTGACAAAGGTGTTGTTACAGGCATCTATCTATGTTGTTACAGGCATCTATCAGCTGCAACTATCAGTCGCCGCTGATAGTTGCCGTTAAAAAAGTGAAGTTGCTGTTGATAGCCGCTGTTAGAAAAGTGAAGTCGCCGCTGATAGCTGCCGTTAGAAAAGTGAAGTTGCCGTTGATAGCCGCTTGGAAGTTAGCGTTAGTAACCTCATGACATGATAAAGCTCCACTTAGAACGAAGCGTCATGAGTCAATATTCTCTGAACCCCGTGTACCTTTCCTCACCATATCATACGTTCAGTAGATGTTTACAAAGGTTACAACACAGGTCAACAGTGGCAGTCATAACATAAATTATTTATTTGTGAACTCATTCAGCAATGTTGTTTCTGAAATTATGCTTTGATGAGATGTCATTTCTGGAAATTGCGTCTAGATGGATATAATTGTAGCTACAGTTTAGTTATTTTCTTGTGTCGGTTCAAGGAGGTTTAGATAATGTTGCTTTGTAAGAGCTAGTTATGGCATTGATGACCTTAGAGATGGATGAAGGGAGTGGCATACCTTGAGGATGTAAAAACAGTTGGGTATTCTGGTGGATGGTGTGAAGAGTAGTGTACCTGGTGGATGATGACATTGGTGTGTAATTTGTTGATGAGGTGGATTACGTTCGGGTGTGCTGTGGGCAGCACAGGGAAGAGTGCAAAACAACCACTGTGAAAAAATAGTGTACGTCCAAGCGCTTTCGTGATTTCTCACATTATTACATATGAGGAAATTACGAATGCGCTTGGAAGTTCATATTTTTTCACAGTGGTCGTTCTACGTATTGTGATATCACCTGTTTACTGTGATTTCATTGCGTCACAGGTAGGAGCGTAACGCATGGTTGGTAGGTTGAATGTGGTGGATAAATCCTTGTAAGGCAGTGGCTCAGGGGGAGTTATCTGGGGAGGCGTCGTGAGACGACACCGACGCTACATCAGGGGGGACCACCTGCGCTACCTTGGAGTAGCGGTGTGAGCCCCCCGTGGGGGACTGTGAGCGCCCCAGGGAGGGCCCACGAAGGGAGCCCCCGCCCCGCGACCCCAGCAGCGAGCGGGCAACGCTACCTGTGTCCACAATGACGTCTATCAGGTCCATGGACTTGGCGAAGGCGTCACGGAGGTTAACATGATGGAAGGACACGATGGATCCCTCTCTCTTGGCTCTCTCTAGGGCCTCGCGTCGCTTGAGGGCCTTCTCCCGTCGCATCTGGTTCTTGTAGAACTCGGCGAAGTTGTTGACGATGATAGGGATGGGCAGCGCAATGACCAGCACACCACAGATACAACACACGGATCCGATCACCTTGCCGAGTGGCGTAATAGGATACATATCTCCATATCCCACTGTCGTCATGGTAATACCCGCCCACCAGAAAGTCTCGGGTATACTTTTGTACACAGGATTTTCGTCTTTTTCCGCAAAATAGCAGAGGCTCGAAAAGATTAACACGCCCATGGCTAAAAACAACATCAACAAACCTAACTCTTTGTATGAATTTTTCAGAGTAAATCCCAAGCTTTGGAGACCCGTTGAATGTCGGGCAAGCTTTAGAATTCTAAGAATTCTCATAATTCTGAAGATCTGAACGATCCTTCTCACGTCTTGGAACTGGTCTGTGTGTTTGTTTGACTCGATAAGGAACAAGGAAACGAAGTAGGGTAGAATGGCAAGCAGGTCTATAACATTCATTGCGCCTTTAAAGAATTTCCACTTGTTGGGGCTTGCGGCGAACCGCAAGACGTACTCTAGCGTGAACCATGTAATGCATACCGCCTCCACCATGGCTAGTTTTTCATTGTCTCCTTGCTCGGGACCCTGAAAACTGGGCACCGTGTTGAGCACAAGAGCGAGCGTCGACATGACGATGAAGATCACGGAGATCACAGCCAGTACCTGTGGAAACCAGAGAACCCACACGGTCATCCGAGTGCTCCCTGGCTCTAGGACCAGGTTCTCTATCTCTGGGTACAGTTCTCTTACGGGACCCTACTACTACTACTACTGCTGCTGCACTTGCCCTGCCTGATGCAGTCAGCTGGGCACCAGGGTGGGCAAGGCAGCAACTTCAACTACCAACAGGCCGCCGCTACCCCTCCAAACTCATGGCTATTCGGAAAACTTGTTATTTTTCAACCCCCCCCCCCCCAAAAAAAAAAAAAAAAAAATCCCTTAGACATAATCTTTAAATTTTGTCAAGAAAATAAAAAAATAATTGGATTTTCTTTTAATTTTGTCAATAAAGTCTGTAAAAATATAATTTATTGCATAGATTACGTTGAATAGAATGATTACTTTTTTGCATAATTTCCAGATTTTTATTTCTTTACATTGGCTAAATAAAAAATTCGAGGCTTTTTTATAAATTAAAATACATTTTTATTGCTCTAATAAGGAGAAGTAATAACGTAATAAAGGAAATGAAAGAATTACTACTAGGAATAACAATGGTATTAGATGTAAATTAATTAGAAGGAGAAGAGTAGAATTAACAGGAACAGGAACACCAGCTGGAGCAATACCAGCTGGAGCAACACCAGCTGGAGCATACCAGCTGAACACCAGCTGGAGCAACACCAGCTGGAGCAACACCAGCTGGAGCAACACCAGCTGGAGCAACACCAGCTGGAGCAACACCAGCTGGAGCAACACCAGCTGGAGCAACACCAGCTGGAGCAACACCAGCTGGAGCAACACCAGCTGGAGCAACACCAGCTGAACACCAGCTGGAGCAACACCAGCTGGAGCAAAACCAGCTGGAGCAAACACTGGAGCAACACAGCTGGACAACACAGTGGAGCAACACCAGCATGAGCGAACCAGCTGAGCAACACAGCTGGAGCAACACAGCTGAGCAACATCAGCTGAACACCAGCTGAACACCAGCTGGATGCAACACCAGCTGGAGCAACAAACGTAACACAAGCTGAACACCATGAGCAACACAGCTAGCAAGAGCAGCCACACAACTAGCACAGCAACAGCACATTCAGCAGCCACAGAGCAGCAGCGCAGCAGCCACATCACACTAGCACAACAGCAGCAGCACATCAGCAGCAGCACACGCAGCTGAGCACATCACAGCAGACACAGTGGCAGCACAGCAGCTAGCAACCAGCGCACCCAACACAGCAGCACAACAGCTAGCAAGCACACGGCAGACACAGCTGAGCAGCAGCAGCACCAGCTGCAACAACACAGCACCACAGCTAGCAGCAGCCAGCAACACAGCAGCAAGCCACTATCACACAGCCACAGAGCAGCACACCAGCTAGGCAGCAGCACACTAGCACTAGCCACAACAGCAGCACCAGCTGAGCAAGCACACAGCTGAGCAATCAACACTAGCCACAACAGCAGAGCACACAGCGCAGCAGCGAGCAGCAGCACACATCAGCAGCAGCCACACAGCAGCAGACACAGTAGCAGCAACCACAGCAGCATCAGCCACATAACAGCAGCCACAGCCAGAGCACAGCAGCAGCAGCCAGCAGCAGCACAGCTAGCCACAACAGCAGCAGCAAGCACTAGCAGCAGCACAGCAGCAGCAGCAGCTAGCAGCAGTCACAGCAGCAGCAGCCACAGCAGCAGCAGCCACAACATACACACAGCAGCAGCACAGCAGCAGCAGCCACAGCAGCAGCAGCCACAAACAGCTAGCACACAGCGCACCACTGCAGCCAGCAGCCACAGCAGCAGCAAGCACACACACCAGAGCAGCAGCCACTGAGCAGCAGCCACAGCAGCAGCCAGCAGCAGCCACAGCAGCAGCAGCCAACAGCCAGCAGCAGCCACAACAACAGCAGCAGCCACTGTAGCAGCAGCCACAGCAGCAGCAGCAGCAGCACACAGCGCAGCAGTCACAGCAGCAGCAGCCACAGCAGCAGCAGCCACAACAGCAGCCAGCAAGCCACAAGCCACAGCATGAGCAGCAGCCACAGCAGCAGCAGCCACAGTAGCAGCAGCAGCACATCAGCAGCACCACTAGCAGCAGCAGCGCCACACAGTCAGCAGCAGCACAGCAGCAGCAGCCACAGTAGCAGCAGCAGAGTCACAGCAGCAGCAGCCACACAGCAGCAGCACAGCAGCAGCCGTAGCAGCAGCCACAGCAGCAGCAGCCACAACAGCAAGCAGCAGCCAGCCACAACACAGCAGCAGTAGCAGCAGCCACAACAGCAGCAGCAGCAGCAGCAGCCACAGCAGCAGCAGCCACAGCAGCAGCACAGCAGCACAGCAGCCACAACAGAGCAGCAGCAGCAGCACAGCCATAGCAGCAGCAGCAGTCACAGCAGCAGCAGCCACAGCAGCAGCAGCAGCCACAACAGCAGCAGCAGCCACGCAGCAGCAGCAGCAGCAGCAGCCACGACAGCAGCAGCCAGCAGCAGCCACAGCAGCAGCAGCCACAAGCAGCAGAGCAGCAGCTACAGCACAGCAGCAGCACACGAGCACAGCCAGCAGTCACAGCAGCAGCAGCCACAGCACAGCAGAGCAGCAGCCACACAAGCAGCAGCAGCCACAGCAAGCAGCAGCAGCAGCAGTACAGCAGCAGCAGCACAGCAGAGCAGCCACAACAGCAGTCAGCAGCAGCAAGCAGCTAGCAGCAGCCACAGCAGCAGCCCAGCAGCAGCAGCCCACGCTAGCAGCAGCCACAGCAGCAGCAGCAGTCACATGCACAGCACCAGAGTAGCAGCAGCAGCACACCAGCAGCAGCAGCAGCAGCAGCCACAGCAGCAGCATCACAGCAGCAGCAGCACAGCAGCAGCATCAGCCACAGCAGCAGCAGCACACAGCAGCACAGCCCAGCACAGCCACAGTAGCAGCAAGCAGCACACAGCAGTAGCAGCAGCAGCCACAGCAGCAGCAGCAGCCAGCACAGCAGACAACCACAGCAGCAGCAGCCACAGCAGCAGCAGCCAGCCAGCAGCAGCCACGCAGCAGCAGCCACAGCCAGCAGCAGCCACAGCAGCAGCAACCACAGCAGCCACGGCAGCAGCAGCCACAGCAGCAGCAGCCACAGCAGCAGCAGCCACAGCAGCAGCAGCAGTCACAGCAGCAGCAGCAGTCACAGCAGCAGCAGCAGTCACAGCAGCAGCAGCTGTCACAGCAGCAGCAGCAGTCACAGCAGCAGCATTCACAGCAGCAGCAGCCACAGCAGCAGCAGCCACAGCAGCAGTCACAGCATCAGCAGCAGTCACAGCAGCAGCAGCAGTCACAGCAGCAGCATTCACAGCAGCAGCAGCAGCACAGCAGCAGTCACAGCAGCAGCAACCACAGTAGCAGCAGCAGTAGTAGTAGTAGGAGTAGTAGCAGCATATTAGTAGTAATAGTAGAAGTAGTATAGTATAGTCGAGTAGTAGTAATAGTCACAGTAGTAGTAGCACTAGTAGTCACAGTAGTAGTAGCACTAGTAGTCACAGTAGTAGTAGCACTAGTAGTCACAGTAGTAGTAGTAGCCACAGTAGTAGTAGCACTAGTAGCCACAATAGTAGTAGTAGCCACAGTAGTAGTAGCACTAGTAGCCACAATAGTAGTAATAGTCACAGTAGTAGTAGCACTAGTAGTCACAGTAGTAGTAGTCACAGTAGTAGTAGTAGTAGTCACAGTAGTAGTTGTAGTAGTAATAGTGGTAATAATAGCAGTGTTGATAATGATAGTGGTAGTAGTAATAGTAGTAGCAGTAGCAACAATAGTAGTAATAATAACAGTGCTAGCAGAAGTAGTAATAATAGTAGTAGTAGTAGGAGCAGTAATAATAATAATTATAACAGTACTAGTAATAGTAGTAGTTGTTGTAGTAGTATAATAAGTAGAAGTTGTGTCAGTAGCAACAACAACAACAGTAGTAGTAGTAGTAGTAGTAGTAGTAGTAGTAGTAGTAGTAGTAGTAGTAGTAGTAGTAGTAGTAGTAGTAGTAGTAGTAGTAGCAGTAGCAATAACAGTAGTTTAGTAGTAGCAGTAGTATCAATAGTAGTAGTAGTAGTAGTACTAGTAGTAATAGTAGTGGCAGTATTAGTAGCAACAGTAGAAGCAGCAGTAGTAGTACTAGCAGTAGTTATAATAACAGAAATACAATAGTAGTAGTAATAATAGCAGTAGTAGTAATAGTAGTAGTAATAATAGTAGTAGTAGTAATAGTAGCAGATGTTATAACCGCAACATAAATATTATTATTAATCATTTTAGTAGGAATAATAGTGGTAGTAGTGGTAATAGTAGTAGTAATTGCAACAGCAGCAATAGTAGTAGTAATAGTAGTAGTAGCAGTAGAGTAGTAGTAGTAGTAGTAGTAGTAGTAGTAGTAGTAGTAGTAGTAGTAGTAGTGACATTAGAAATATTAGAAATCGGTGCATCGACAGTAGTAGTTGTAACCGTAGTTGTAGTCGTAGTAATAATAGTAATCCTTGTAGTAGTAGTGAACGTAGACGTAGTAGTAGTAGAAGTAGTAGTGGTAGCAGCTGCTGTAGTAGTAATAGTAGTAGTAGTTAATGTTGCAGAGGTAGATACAGTAGAAATAGTAGAAGTAGCAGTGATGGTAGTAGTTTTGATAGTACTGTAATAGTAGTGGACTATCACAAGTACCACCAGGTGGGTAACTATCTGAATATATTATAAAATTTAAAAAATAATTCACTGGACTTTATTTGTTTACATTATTCTCTTTCTCTCTCTCTCTCTCTCTCTCTCTCTCTCTCTCTCTCTCTCTCCTCTCTTTTACATAGGGTTTTACATGGTTCCTAACTTTATTTACAAAGTAAGAGCTGTTACGTGCATCAGCCCCTCTCTCTCTCTCTCTCTCTCTCTCTCTCTCTCTCTCTCTCTCTCTCTCTCTCTCTCTCTCTCTCTCTCTCTCTCTCTCTCTCTCTCTCTCTCTTTTACATTAATACAACAAAGCCTCC